GTAGTAAATTCTCCTTATCTCATCCCACAAGGTTTTGTATTTTCCATCCCTTTTCTCCCTCCCACGCCGGGGGCGAGTGGCCATGTGGTGCCCGGCTCCCACCTGGGGCTAAACCACCACACATTATTAATAACACTGATTGACTCATGGCATACTTAGAGTGCTCTACTGCTGCATGCCATGAGCAAAATGACTGCCTCCCTTTCAGGAAGCCTCTCGTCTACCTTCACATTGTATAGAGATAATTCACTGTAATGACTGGTGCAAGCACAGAATTTCCTGCAGAGCAGTCCCAATATTCCCTGTGGTCATACGTGTCACTAAAACAGACCTGTAGAAGACTCAGGTCCACCAGGTTCAGTCCACAATGAGCTCTCAGTTCATTCCACAGGAAGTGAGCTGCTCCTCCTACTCCCAACCCATCTCATAAACTTTCTTTTCAAATTGATTAAAACACACTTTTGAAACACTGTATGTTCAGGTTAATCTTAGATCCTTTGTTAGACATGAACTAGACAAATCCTGAAGGCATCAAACCTGAGCGAGACAGCTTGTTGTAGAAGATATAATTCTTAAGGTTTTATAAAGGTCAGAACTGAAATAGAATAATCTAGTCAATCAATGCATGGAGCAAACTTTCCTCAGTACACAAATAGAAAGTTCAGACTTGTAGTTTCTCTGGGGTGCCTGCATTACACTTCCATTCAGCATCTCCTATTCATTTATAATTCATACCACAAGCAGGAAATTAATTTCTATCTGCTTTGCAAAGTGCTACACCAATCTCCAGAACACTGTTCTTCTATTACTAGGATTACTGATGCATTTTTAAATAATAACAAATGAATAATCCACAGCTGTAGCAGGACTCATGACAAAAGCTATCTGCAACTCTAGGACTCAGTACTAGGCCTTTGCCTTCAACTTTCCTGAGAAAGAAGAGGCACCATGCACCACAAAGGTGCTGCTATGAGGGAGCTCCTCCCCTCCTTCAACTGGACTCAGTTTACTGTCAGTTAAGTAACACTGCAGCTGCACAGCAAGGCAGAATCACCAGTATGCTCAGTAGCTGACTCAGGTTCATTTGAGAAAAACAAAAGTAATTTATCTTGGTCATTTTAAAGCTTATGTAGTTTGCGTTCTTATCTTTAGCGATATAAAGGTGGTATGTGAAATGTTCTCATTAATGGAAAATACAGTTGCACAAAGGTCTGAAAATTATTTCTTGCCATATATGTATTTTTAATCGCTTCAAGGATAAAACAGATTTCAATCCTACTGCTCACCAACCAAAAGCCAACTTGCAAAGGAACAGAAGGGAGTGTGCATGGCTAGGAACTCTGGTACAACACAACTGCTCAAGGGGAAGATTCTTTTTGCTTTCTACTATAAAGAACCCAACCTCTTATATCTTAAGTGAAAAAAGCCTCCTATCACTGACGCTATGTAAGACTTACTGGAGCATATAAAAGTGCATGCACAAGAGTTTCATGTACAAGAATGCCTATGTCTTGCTTATCACTTCTTACATTTTCCTGTTATGGCTGCTGTTTAATTACAATCAGCTCACCATTTTTTTCCCTCATCTGTTGATAAGACTATCAGGTATAAGCATGAGCCAAAAAAGGCAAAACAAAGCAACTAAAAACTGAAAAACGTTCAAATTCTTACAGAAATTTGAGAGGACAAAGCTCCTCCCACCAAGAGGCATCCTCCCTCTCACTCGCTGTCAGAGAGGAAGGCCTACACTAACCTGAAACAGTGAGATAAACAAAAGGAGTTCCTGAACTGTTCAGTTGAAATATAAAATCTAATGCCTGTGACATGTGTTGTTTTCAAAGCCCAGAAGAGATTAGTTAACAAAATGTGGAGGGACAGGACTACCTTACCTCATGTGTACGGGCCACACTGTGTGGAAAGTCAGAAGCTGGTACTTTGTTCTTTCTAGAGAGAAGGAAACCAAGAAAATAAAAAAAGTATAGCAGAGTCAGCTTACCTGGTTGCGATCTCTCTTTCCCATGGATGGTAACCAAAAACTGGAAGGAAGCAGAGTCAGAAGGACAGGTGGCAGCAATGCCAAGGAAGGAATGAACATGAGGGGAAATAAAAACCAGAGGGTTTGGGATAAGGAGAGAAGGAGAAGGGAAGAACAGAGATGGAGGGAGAAGGAGAAAGATTAAGCATCAGCAGGACTCATATGAAAAACAGTGAATTTCAAATCCAAGGAAGAAAATTATACCAACAGCTGGTGAAGGCTGGACCCACTGCGCTACAGTGAAGAGGTGCCACCCTTACTCATCCATTGCCTGACAAGAATAGCACTAAAGGGATGCCAAAGAATAGGCACCATAACTATTTCTGGTGTCGACTACAATTTAAATACACTAATTGGGGAAGGAGACAGAACACCAAAGAAAGAGAAAGCAATTTTGCGGCTGCCTTGTCAGCATGATTTCTGCAGTCTGGGTACGCGCCCGGAGTGTGAATACGCTGAAGCTCTTTTAAACACTGACATGCAGGGCTCAGTCCTCTCAGAAGACCAGCAGTTATGGCAATGGCACATTGCAAGGGAGGGGAGAAAGAAAACGCTGACTCTAACCAAAAGGGCAGTTGAGCGGTGTCCACACAATGGGGGAGCCTTATAAACAAAAAAAGTCAGCAATTGCAAATAAGAAAACAGAGAAGCCATCAGTAAAGGACTGTCTCCCATTCCACAGGTCACTGCATGCTTTAAGTTACCACCCAGTTCTTCGTTCCCTTCAGTCCCAGGGGGGAAGAGGACCCTAGAGTTCTTCCTCCCCTCCCAAAGTGCTACACAGCAGCTGTTAAGGACCTTACTCTTTCTGGCGCGGATCACTAACAATCTGACCTAGCCTCTCGGTGCTCAGAGTGCTCATGGAGGTCTCCTGAAACACAAAGACAGGTAAAAGGTTGCAGACTCTCACACAGTGAGCAGACATAACAGTTTGCCACTGCCAATAAGAACAGATCTTACTCCCCTGGGCCACACCTCTTCCTTCCCAGCCCACCCTCAGCTAAATGTCTTCACTCTCTCCTTTTAGAATCACAGCTGAGAAAATTTAAATTATTAGAACAGCAGAAAGTCATTCAGTTTGATTTGTGGGGCTTGGTTTTAATTATTTTAGTGATGGTATTTGCTTGCACAGGGGCACACAAAGCACTGGACCAGTACAAAGTATGCAGTACAAGGATGCAGCTAAGAACAGGGGAAACGGCTGAGAAGAGCTTACTTCCAAGGTTGCTGGGCCAGAAACAGGCTGAGAGCCAGGACATCACACTGTCCCACTAACAGAGAGGATTCACCAAACACACGTGAATGAGGCAAAGAACGTGCATGAAGCTTTCACCCTTTCTGAAAGAAGCAATTCAGCAGCAGGACCTCTAGCAGCTAAAGAAAAGGTGCCTAGGAGAAGGCACTTGCTCAGTGACCACCTCTCCCTGTGAGACACTGCCTTATGAGTGTGCTCAATGCTGCATACACACACACAGCCTGAAGCACCAGCTCTTCATGTCTGCATAGCAACTACCTCCAAGAAAGAAATACACTTTCCAGTAAGGGTCTGTTGATGAGGGTAAAAGGCTTTCACAGGTAAGATTTGTTTGTGCTAGGTACGCAGGAAAAACCCACTCAAACTTTGGGGACAGTTGTAGCAGCAGGGGTGAAAGATGGGCTATTTGTTACAGCAGGAAAATTATTAACTTAAAGTGCCATAATGTTTAAATTTACCGTTTATGACTGTGTAAATTACAAGCCGTACTTTTGGTAATTAGCAGCTCGCTGGCGGGGAGCTCTGAATGAAACTCATTATTTATGATTACAATTTAGAGAGAGATGGGGAAGGGGGAGCAGTGACCTCCACTGCAAATGACAAAGATCCCTTTAAGGTGATGAAGATGAATTAAACAAGTAAATATTATCCTTCTCATTTGGATCATTAGAGGTGCTGCTGACAGGCCGAGCCACTTGCAGGTGGCCTGAGGAACCCTACCCAAAGCCAGTCTCTTGCTAGCTGAGGATTCATATTTTAAACGCTGGTTACAATTAAGCAAGGTGAGTGGGCAGCGAACAAGGATCTTTCAAATGTGACTGAACAGAAGGAAGAAGTCGTAGACTCCAGCTCGCTTTAACGCGCCTTGCCAACAGACTCTCTAAAGCCAGTCAGCTTAGAACATATGCCAGTATTTTCAAAGGCACAGAGCACATCCCATAAAAAAAAAAAAAGCCAAACATAGCCAACACCTTCCTTCTCAGAATATCTTTTACCACAGACAGCAGCATTCATCATTCCAAGATCTAGACCCAACCAGGTGTATCCCTCCCTCTTTTACACAAGCATCTGCAAAGTATTCTTTATTCCTTCAGAAACAGGACTAATATTTTTTTGTTTTATCCTATATATAATAAACCTAGTCAATGGCTTTAGGTAACTTTGTGTGCATTATTGCAGATAATCTTTTATTATTCTGTTTTCCTACTAAAAATGCAACTGCTAAAACCACCTTCTTTGCTGCCATTCCTACTAGTCTTCCTAAAATTTGGCCTTCCTTGCCCTTTGAGCCATTCCTCTGCCCTTGTAGTCTCAGATTATGAGCATGCACAAGTCTCATGCCATCATCATTTTGCCCTACATTCTGTCTAAACCTTCTTGATATTTATGCTCCCTGTCATTCATCTTCAGAGCTCCTCTCATACTGCTTTTAACACTGATCGACTGTCTTTGGTACTCCAAACCTGCCTTAAAATCCACTTAGTCACTGAATCAACTTCTGACAGTCAAAGCAGTTAAACAAATCAAACAATACATGAAACAGAAAATGTACAGGGCCCCTTTCTGCAGAAAACAATTCACATGATGTCTTAGAATAGTACTTCAGGACTGATCACCACTGGAAATATAAAATCATTAACTTGCAAAAGGGAATACCTTGCCAACAAGCCTCCTCCGACCTTTTCGGAGACAACGGGCAGCAGCTCCCGGAAGGCGATTCAGGCGAGCGTGAAATCCTGAAAACCAAACCAAGAAGAACCAAGCAATGAATAGACAAGATTATTCCTGGCAAAACAGATGGGAAAAACAGGTACTTCAGTGGTCAGATCAGATCCTCTTTCTCTTGTTTGTCAATCTACAAGAGACAATTTATGCCAATAAATATGCCAATTTATTCACAAATGAAATAAAATCCCTATTTAAAAAAAAGAAGACTCAAAAATACAGCTGGTATGAGTATTTTAGTATGCTCTCCAATACTGCAGCTATTTTTAACTGGATCAGGAAAAAAAAAAAAAAAAAAAAAAAAAAAACACCACAACAGATCACTAACACCAGTTTAAGATGCAGCACCCATGAACAGAATCTGCTCTTACTATCGCATCAAAAGTCCTCAAACACATGTCAGTCCTTATGGACCTCACCTCTCTGAGCTGGCCTTGAAGGCAAAAGGAACGTGGAATCTGAGAGCTTGTCCAGGCCCGAATCAATCCGCTCCAGTTCAGATCGGTGGTCGGCTCCCCACTTGGGAAGAAGGCTGGGGACAGTGAATCCTGGAACACATTCTCCTTCATAAAACCAATCACTTTGCTCATCATCTCCTAAAGAAATAGAATGGAATTATCCACAAGTAACATCAATGTGCCCTGTGACAGTCACACAAAATACTACAGGCAGGCATTTCTGGATGTGAAACAGCTAGAGTCTCATTAGGAATTCCATCCCAAAAAGCCTTCTATTTGTATTCTGTTTCAATGATCTGCAGTAACTACGGGGCCTCACTAAATGCTTTAAACTATCTAGCTCATCAGGCTACAGAATTTCTCTATAAAACAAAGCCTTCTTTACAGACCTGCCTAGGGCAGCTTTAGCACTCCACTGCAACTGCATCTCATCAACCTTAGTTCAATGTTGTGTGATGTCTTATGCAGAACTCTCTCCCTGAAGTAACTACTGTGACAGATGTAGAGGCCAACCATTTGGCACATGTTATAGGCTATCACAGGAGAGACTCCACAACAGGAGAAGACCAGGCTCACAGAGTAAGCAAAAGGAGCATACTCACTGATGAAAAAGACCCCTAGTCTCCCAGGACAGTAGCTAAGAGGAAAACACACAACTATGAGAAATGGTCACTCTGAGTTTACATATTAATCAAGCTGTGAGTCTTTCTCAAACAAAATTTCTTAGAATCTGTCAGAACTAGAAACTCTTTACAAAACTAAAGCAGGAGCAACAGAAGCCATGAGCAAAGTCTCCACAAAGCAGAGTCACTGTAATTAATGCAGCTGCAGTCTAAAACTGAACTGCATCAGACACCATTCATGGTAAACCTGCCTGGCCAGAAATCCCCTAAGAGCAGCATGTGAGCAGTGTAAGAAAACAGCAGGAAGAGGGCAAAGAACTGACACAGTTAGCTTTTCAGGAGGCCAACTAACAGTCCTGAGTAATTACAAGGTACTTCACCTTGCCTTAAAATACTAATACACCTGACTTAGAAAAACTCCAATTGGCATACCACAAAGTCTCAAATCAAGCATCCCCATTTACTTTCCTCATTCCTGACTGAAGTCCATTATGCCTACCCACATGTCTTGCCAGACAAACAAACAAACAAAAAAAAAAGGAAAAAAGAAAAAGCCCTCACCTTAGTAAGAATGCTGCAATCTTGCACATAACAGAAACAACACTCAAAATCAACTTCAACCAGCAACAGAGAGGAGAGTCAGAACACTTCAACCTAAAGCTCTGACATTGCTTCTTATATCTGTGATATGTCAGTTGATCTAGCACGCTTGTGACAAAGCAATTTTAAAATATAAATATCCTTACACACTTTAGAGTAAATTTTGGGAGTTCTAAGTGATCATAATTAGTACAAAAATATCCTAACAGTTTGGAATCTATGGGTATAGTCCACTGTTGTATCTCAAAGTTTCTCAAGTCATACCTCAGTCATACGTCAAGTGAAATCACTACTTGTACAAGACAAACTTTTACAATTGGGATTATATGCTAACATTGGAGTAACTTTCACCAACAGAGATCCCAAAGCATTTAACAACCACCAAAAAAAAAAAAAAGCTTACAATCAAATTATAAACTCGAAACATTTTCTGCTCAAAGAAGCACACTAGTATCTGGAATTGCACAGACAAGCTATTTAATTAGCAACAGTACAAATATTACACCAAGTAACTTCCAAAGAAGGGGGGGGGAAAAACCCTACATTCGAGTACCTTAAATTTCCCATTATGCAGTTTAGAATTGTACTAGAAAACTATTTCTCAGACGACAATCTGTGACCCAAAAAGAAAAAAAAAAAAGTTTTATGCTCTCTATTTCACTAAAGGGGCAAGCTGCTATTTACTTTTTGACTAGAAATTATCTAAAAAAAGTAAAGGCAGATGTTTCTTATTTAACCTGAAAATGCAACATTTTTTAAGCATTTTAAACATTACTGTAAGCTAAAACATCTTTGCCAGAAAGCTATTACCCTATAAACTGTTTGAACAGACAGAGGCCTAATGACTAGAATGTCAAATCTCTTCTAGTACCTAGGCAGGTAAGGCTGTCATTGGATTTTATGAATTTATTTAAGTCGTATATTCCAAATGCTGTCAAAAGTTAATGTCTAAAACAAGGTATAAAACCAGGGCAGGTATATAGGGCAAGCATATAGACAAGTGTGTGTGTATATCTATACACACAGACACACACACAGAGTCTGAGTCAATCTTGCCTCAGGTGATGAAGTAAAAACTCACCACTACAGTCACCACCCTGCTTCCTCTTCTGATACACAAGTGCTCGCTGACTTCAGCTCCCCCAGAACAGTAAAAACATAGGGCAAAAATTTGATTTTTCTGTTGCTTTTGAAGGATGGGAGGCTGGACACAGTTCTTTTTCAGCAAAGGTCAAAGCTGGTATTTGAAATCCCTGCTCTCAGGGAAAGTATTATAATTACCTAAGTTCACAATAGATCGGCCCTGTAGCCTAACATATCATCAGAAAACACAAACATATTTGCTATCACTGTGTTGCCTCACACACAGATACCTATTTGGGTCAGAAACAAGCCAGTGGAAGCAGCATTTCCTACTGAGTGACTGATACTACTTCCTTTAGCACTCATATATTCCCAGAAGAGAACTCATCCAAATCTTAGCTTGTGAAATGTGACAGAATCAGAATGCACACCAGCAGAAGCCATGCAGAATTACAGATATCTAGGGTCACATTTCCCCTGTTCCAAATATAATAGTCCTGACTGCTGATGCACCTACTACCACCTCTTTCACCTCTACTTCTGCCCTATCCCTCATGAACAGGACACTAAGCTGTCACAGATAAAAACCAGATTACACTCCACACTCAGAACTCCTAAGAAACCATTTCTACAACATATTGAAATACTAGGCTCATCTAATAAACACAAGAGCATGGGAGGAATGTGTATTTAAAGAAATAAAGCCTATCACATATTAGTGTTGTCTTCTTAGCACAGCCTACTAGGTGACTTGCCAGTACTAACTGATTTATTTTTCCCCATTGCCTCTTCCAGCCCGCCAAGAAAACAACTAACAGATTCAGGCACTAATGATATGTAGACAACAATGAGAACACCTACAAAAACAAATCATAAGCACTGCTCTTTTGTTACTGAAAGCTTTAAAATTTCTCTTCAATTTCTGTGCCTTCCTATAATCACAACTTCTTATATTTCAAATACTATGGATCTGAAATGGTTCTATTTCAGCAAGCATACCATTCCCACAATCACAACTTTATAGCCCTCCTAACCTCTAGCCCCTCCCAGTCCCTGGCGTTTCTCCCATACTTCCCTCTCTCTCCCTCTTCAAACATAGATCTTTCTTTGTATTTGTAAAGAAAGTAAGAGAAATTCCCCAGCATACATGAGGAAAATCACAGGACAGTTGTTACCTTGGCGGCCCTCATCATTGGTAAACAGGCCAGTATCACTGCTGCTGCATACACTGCTGGTTTCACTGGAATAAAAACAAACAAAAAAACCCCATTGTTACAATTGCAGCGGGTATAAAACAACTAAAAACCCCACTTCTCCAAGAAGTGGCTGGCTCTAGCATAGGATATAATTGCTTTCTGTTGAAACCTAGCAATTCTGCATCACTTAAAAGAGAGTACAATCCTGTATCTAGCCTAGTTCTAAGTTATAAAAAAGTAATTAATACAATGGCATTTGCCTCGGGTACTAGATTTAATCACCTAACTATGACATTGTCTAGAATGCTCACTAGGAAATTAAGTGCAGTTAAAAACTCTGTCCTTGGGTCACATAACAGCTACTGAAAACCCTCTGAAGTTTCCTACTTCAGGTTCTTTTTTCTCAAAAATGTTATACAGGTACATAAACACTCCCTTCCATCTACAGCAACTTTTATTTTATTTGGAGGGAAAAGCAGCTGGTACACTCACAACTCTACAACTAAATACCTTAGCACACCATGGCTTGCTGCTGCCAAATGCAACCTCATTACAGCACACTTTGCATTTGCTGAAGCAGTTACAGGAGACTTAATTCTTGAACCAAAGTATTAAACTAGAAATTAATGTGCAGAAAGCTATTAATTGACTGTAAAGCTGCATGAATATGTGTAGCAGAAGTACATGCTCAGGTCAGTCCTAAGCATCTGGTGGCTATAATGCTGTTATTAAATCAATCGTTGGACACTTTGGGCGATAATTCCTCTGATTTAGCTGGGAGATAATGGAACAAGCAGAACCTTCTTACCCATCCCTTAGCACTACAGCTTTAGATGCAAATGTCAGGCATAACACAGCACTAGAATCAATCTCCGACCAGGGCATGGTGCTAGAAAGCACCTCTGGGTCCCTCTTTTCCAGGAAAATTGGACCCTACTAGACACCAGTATCAACTGGAGACCGCTTGATTCAAAAGGCTGAAGGATGAGGCACCACAAGATGTGTCACACCAAAGAATTGCAGGCACATAATAAACCCCCATTTTGTGAGCATATTATTGCTCTTGGAAAATGCAGTCTAAAGTGTAGCCAAATCGGCTCCTCATGCTGGCTATCTACAAACTCTGCATCTTCATCATTGTATAAAGGTCATTAGAACTTAAAGGATGAACAATCTGTACATCATTCCCACATTTCAGTATGTAAGTTAGTATCAAATTCCAAATCAATCCGTTACAAAGTTTGGCCACCCTTTCCCCCTCCCACAGACACCCCGCAGCAATGAAGGCCAAGGACTGAGAAGCGTGACTCATGCGTCTCGTTCCCAGCTCTCCTACCAGCTCCCGGTATGACCCTGGGCACACCTCTCGGCGTGTCCGCTTTGCCTTTTGGAAGCCCGGATTAACAGTCCTCACAAGCAATAGATGCAAGGATTGAGTGACTGCTTCATAAGGGTTTTAGCATCCTCAGGGGAAAGGTGCCCGAGAAAGGAAAAAGCATTGTCAAGATTCCAGATCATATTAACAGCACTGAGCTCTTTAGCCCCTTACACATATACGTTATTGCAAGTGCTTTACTGGAACAAACTTCCATGGATCTCACCCTCTTCACCATCCCTTTTACACTTCAGGGCTGAACACAAACTAGACTCCTACACAAGCCTTTCTGCAGGTCCAGTAAGCACTGATTAATGACCTCCACTTGCAAAGGAGGCTACTTACCTTAACCATGAAATAATGAATGCTATTGATCCGACAAGCTACTGCTATAGAGTGTTATTGATCACCCAATCTTTGGTTAAAATGGTCCTCATTTAGCAATTTCACTGTCACAAACACCTGGAGCAAAGCATGCTTATAATTAAATAGTTTGGGAGAGTTAAAGTGAGAGGTGATGGACAGAGATCTTGGGTTTCCCCTATTTATTCTTTTGCCTGAGCTATTGTTTGTGTCAGGAAGGATATTGATTTTCTATAAAAATAAGAAAACAAGAGGCACCAAGGGGCTGCAGAAGGTCAGGCTGGGCTGGAGAAGGAGGGGAAGCTGAACACTCTGTCTTTGTCACTTGCCTTCCAAGAGAAAGGAGTTTTTTTCTTTACGGAGAGACTGGCCTCTCATTCATCAGCTTAGCCAGGTTCCCAAGTGCCACTGCAGGCTGTCATTGAAAGCTCTCCGTTCCAAAGCGTAGAGCAATTGCACTGCACACTCAGGATACACACTGGTCACACCCCCAGGCCAGAACACTGTGCTGCTTTTGCCTGGGATAGAGTTGAATATTCCCCATGGTAGCTCTACAATGTTACACTTTGGATCTGTGACCAACACAGTGCTGGTAACACACTGATGTTTTAGTTATTGCTGAACAGCGCTTAAACCTTGCCAAGGTCATTTCTGTTTCTCACACTGCCCTGCCAGAGAGTAGGCCAGGGATGCACAAGAAGTTGGGAGGGAACACAAACTACAGCAGCTGACCCCAACTGATCAGAGGGATATCCCACACCACATGACACAGTGCTCAGCAACAAGAGCGGGGGGAAAGGAGGAGCAAGGGGGGGGCATTTGGAATTACAGGGTTTGTCCTCCCAGTGTTAAAAAAGATGGAGCCCAGCTTTCCTGGAGATGGCTGAACACCTGCCTGCTGATGGGAAGTAACAAATTAATCCCTTACTTTGCTTTGCTTGCATGCACAGCTTTTGCTTTACCTATTAAAGCAACATTACCTCAGCCCACGACCTTTCTCACTTTTGCCCTCCCAATCCTCTCCCCCATCCCACGTTGGGGGAGTGAGCAGGCAGCTGTGTGGGGCTGAGCTGCCTATCTGGGTTAAACCACAACCAGCAGCATCAAGCAGCAGCACGGAGCCAGCGAAGTCACATGGCGTTGGTGGGTCAGTACAATCCCCAGTCTGAAGTCACATTCAGAGTCACGGCACTTGAGAACAGATTAGGCAAAATGCACATCTCCAACTAAACAAACATCTCTAACTAAACCACTCATCTTTCAAAGTGATTTCACAGACAGGTATCGTACTACTGTTTGTTCTGCCCCAGCCAAACCCACGCCATTCAGGGAGTACCAAGCTTAGCTCAGCAAGAGAAAGAACTTCAGCACTCAAAACTTGCGTTTGCTGTACTCTGGATGCAGGAAATCTCAAAGCATTAAGGGACAGAATGGCATGCTACTTCTCAGTGTCAGCAGTTGTCATCTTTGTACAAATATACAAATGGCTAAACTAAGATCCCTTGCTTCCTCTGTTGTTTCCACAATCACTTATAGATCAGGCTTTGAGTCATGCAATTAACCAATTTAGAATCATCATTTTCTTGCACACCCTTCTCTCAATTTGTGTTCATCTCTTGCCACATTTGGCAAACAATGTCAAAGATTTCATTTCACACACACACATTTGAATCACAATACTACATCTTCCTCCAAGAAAAGACTTGGTGCAGTCCCACAAGCAAACTATAAATACTACCTCCTCATTAAATATCCATATCCAAAGCTTTCTCAGTGAATGGGAGTTCAATTTGTGTTCATCTCTTGCCACATTTGGCAAACAATGTCAAAGATTTCATTTCACACACACTTTGCACCAAGTCTTTTCTTGGAGGAAGATGTAGTATTGTGATTCAGTCCCACAAGCAAACTATAAATACTACCTCCTCATTAAATATCCATATCCAAAGCTTTCTCAGTGAATGGGAGTTTATCTACTGAATACCGTTAAGTTTCTGATCTGACTTAGGATAAGGAACCTCCTAGAAAGCAGAAAAAATGTTGAGTATTTTAACATTTACAGAGATTCATTCCTACAAAAAAAAAAAAAAAAAAACCAAAAACAACACACCATAAAGAAAAGCAAGTGACAGTGGAGGGGAGGAAAAAGAAGGTGGAAAAAAAAAAAGCAGTTATGAATATACAACTTAGTTTGCCTAAAACCACATTAGTTTTGTGACACTCCCCACCACAAGATGAGTGAACAGCAAGTGGGACCAATTCAGTACCAAAACGTTCTGTAAATTAGATCATCACAGACTGCTTCCAAGTCCCACAAGCTGTATCAGTCATTTTCCCTCCTATCAGCTTCTGATGACAACCATACCATCCACTCTCCTAGGCATCCAATTTTCTTCCTCCTTCCTCAGGATATGCCCTTGTTATCCATCTGTGCAAAGTACTTCTCTCACAGTACCAGAAAAAACAGCTAGAGCACAGTGAGAGGGGAGGTAAGCACAGCCAGTTTCACTCTGCAGCTTGCCTCAAAGTGCTGTATTTAGAGCAGCAGAGACCAAAGCCCCATCCTTCAGTGCCATGAGGGATACTATGCACTGAAGAAGGCTGTATGTATCCCCCTCTCCAACTCTGACCCTCTCTCATGAGTCATAGCACAGGATCACACATGTGGTGTTGGAGAGGTCAAATATTCCAGCCCCCGGCTTTCCAAAGAGAATCCCAAGGATCTGGCAGCAGATGGTAAATGTCATTTGATGCAGATGTTTGCACAATAATTAGTTTGAGAGCAAGGGACAACTGAGGCAGAACAAAGTGATCTCCCAGCGTGGTCCTCAAGTAACAGTCCAGACAAAGCTGTTTGTTTATTCTTTCAAAGACTGGCACAAGTAAAGGCTGGATGAAAGCCTGCTGGTTTATGTTCAAGTTTAACATGATGGAAAGATTCTGACTGGTGGAAAGAAAAACTCAAGGAATGCTGTCCATCGCTGCCACATCAAGTAAGGGCATCTCTCTGTCCATCACCACTGACATACAACGTTCAGGGGCTACTCAGCACATTCTCTTCTCTGGACTGCCAGCAAATAGCTCTGAAAAGACAAAAGTCCTTTTAACCACTAGTAGCAAAAACGCATCCACTAGTCACCCACTTTTTAGGCAAACAATAGCCACTTTTTAAGGGGAAAAAACCCCACAATTTTTTGCAACTTCCACCCTGTAATGGTTACATAGAAACCATTCTGATTCAGAAAAAATGCAGCAGTGGTCTTCCGGATCAGGAGAGCAAGGATGTATTATGACCTACGCTTTTCACTGTCTCCCAGAAAATACCACTGAGAAGTTTGCACTTCCAGCTGTTAGCCACAAAGCCCTCAATAACCAAGTGCCACCAGTCCTCTCTGACAAACTGCAGGAACTAGATGGCCAGAACGCTTAAATGAGCCTTAACACATGAACAATTAAACTGGATCAAACAATTACACTTTCCAAATCTGCTGCCTTCTGTCTGGTAGCACCTATTACAATTGATGCTTAAGGAAAGAATATGAGAACATGACAAATACAGACCAACTGTTTCCTCTGTATATTCCTCCAGCTTCTAGCAGTCAGCAATTTAAGGATTTCCTGAGCCAGATCTTCCATCTGGGCTGTAATGCTTAACAGCCTCTTACAAATCTGTGTTCCACATCCCTCTTTTGGACATATTTAAACTTTTTACCGCCAAAATGTCCCACAATAGAGTTCCAAATCTCATGGTTCATGAAAAAAAAAACAACACTTTTTTGTTTTAAATGTTTCCTCAATGTCCCCTGCTCCTTAAACAATGTTAATTAGGAAATAAACTATCTTATTCACTTTCTGTATGCTATTCATTAAGAACTGCCCTCCATTTGATTTTCACCAGTTGTTTCTTTTCTAATCTGAAAAATCTCTTAGTACAGAAGCAGTTTTATTACCCCAAACCTTTTACATAGAGAATAATAGTCACATTGGAGGGGAAAATTTTCCAGGAGTGACACACAAACTCAGATCACAACATTTACACTTCTTGGCTTTCATCTCTTGTATCAGATTCTGCCACAAACTCATCAAAGTTCTCCAGAACTGGAGCTGAAGACATGCCAGACTCCACTGTTTGCACAGGCTCATCGCGTAATGCAAGTTTCTCCCAACTTCTTTTCCACTACGTTTTCCCCACGGTCAGCCTTTCAGGACCTTATTCCAGAGCAGAGCTGTGGAACTGCAAACTGTTTTGACTGCAGTTCACACATTACCTGCACAGAGGGCTAGTGGTCACGATGGGAGATCTGATCTGTTCTCTATTGCTACTTCCAGTAACTTCTGAAAACAAGGAACTGAGATTAGTTCTCATCAATCACATCACTTTTCTAGTTGCAGGACCACAGACGGTTCAGAGGGCTCCTTGGTGTAGCAGAAGCCAGAAACATAACACCGTGCCAACTTTTCAAGGAAATGTTTGGGTGATCAGTACGGCATTGACAGGAAAGACTTGGAAAAAAATCTACAATTTAGGTGTATCTGAGATATTTCTCCTCTTCAGAAACAGAATGGCACTGAATAATTTTGATAAGAACTTCTAAAAGCAAGGCATAGGATTTACAAGCAGCTGCATGCAAGGCAGCCATCTGACTAGTACAGGGAAGAAACTGAGATCTCACCATTCCGACATGTTTTCATCTGAGCCCTGTTTCTGCTCATCAGCTTCACACTCCATCCGCTCCTTCCTCCCCCCTTTGCTGAGGAAGGGCCTGTTCTCTCCCGATTCACAAAGGCCGTGACTGGATGATGCCCAAGGCGCATTTTCTTTCCAGCGTGAAAGGCGCTGTTTCTTAGCTGACTTGAACCTGCAGCCCCTCTCATAGCTCCACTCTGACACCCTGAGCTTTTGCTGGAGACTGGCAGCCACCTCAGATGTCACACGTTTGACTTTCCGTCGGCGCCTGAGAGGTCGACAGGGTGCGTTCTCTGTAAAGGAGTCTGACTCATGCCACGAGTGTTGCTTGCTCCTCAGGGTGGCACTGAGAGCTGGGTGTCGTTTGACCACTGCCATGTCATCAGAGTCACTGAAATTGGCTGTCAGCACCTCACGGCAATCCTTGACAGCCTCGTCCAAGCTTGACTCCGAGGCCTCGCTGTAGCAGCAGGCATGCTCTGCCTGATGTGTGAAGTCTGAGCGCCGTTTACGCCCCCGTCTCTTGCGAAGCTGACGCCGCTGCTGCCGTGGGCTTAGGGCCATCTCTCCCCACAGCTCATCCAGCTTGTTCTGTTCTGAAGTCTGCTCTAAGGCTGAGGCCAAGTCATGCACCAGTTCATCCATTGGCAATGCCTACTAAAAATGCCAACAGTTAACACCAGATGTAAACGCCGCCTACCAACACATCACTAGAATACAGTATGCTATAGCCTTTCTAACATTAACCAAGTTACATACTTATTTTGGAGTAGTCTAGGAGAACACAGTGCAAAGCAACTGCAGGTTCCTGTGCTAATGCTGCCTTCCTTTTGCAAGGGTTAAGTCCCTTTTCTAACCATGGTAGCAGAAACCTCACTACTGCAGCACCTGGGTCAAAAGCTCTGAGTTTAAAAAGGTCCTAAGGCCGCATCTTTTGCATTATGCACCTCAAGAGTATAAGAGTCTGCAACTAGTTTGCTACCTTGTGTCAGTTAGCCACAGAGAAGGGTTAGCCTGCTTAGTAAACAGACTGAGTCTTCCTAGAGATAGATGAACAGCAAAGCTGAGTAAAGCAGACGGTAAAACAAGTAGTCTGCAAGCCAGCATTGCTTCAAAGGTAAAACAAGGCAGGCAGGACCCTGTGCTCCTTGTGCAAAAAAATCCCACCCTTTCTACCTCAGGCCTGCCAGCGTGCCAACCCCTTAAACCCTGCGCAAATCCCTCACCTCACAACGCTCCCCCCTCCACACGCCCCCTCCCCTCCACACGTCCCCCCAACCCGTCGA